TGATGGAGTTGAAGGCGTTTGTGGTTGTTGCTGTTGAGACGTAGATAGTGTCACTGGTGAGGAAACATGAGCTGGCGACATTGTTACTTGTGTAGAAGTCTGTTGTGGCTGAACTGGTGCCGTAATTCGAGTTTCGTTTACGTGGATTAGTCTTAAGTCCTTGCGGGGCCTGAATTCCGAGAGAACGGCTTCCCCGCTGTTGGCTGTCCTCTTATCTCGTTTCCCGAATTTTCCTTGCAGCAGTCAAGGGTTCGAGTGTTCTGTTTTCCACAGATCCAACAAAAAAGAATTTTTGGATTTCGACAGATTCTTGCCATATGTCCCAACTTCCCACACCTTCGGCATGCATTTGGTGCGTCTTGGATTCTTTGCTCGAAAGATTGGACTAGGTGGTTTCTTTCCTCTCTTAGCCTTGGAGGTCCGGTTTTCTCTTGTTCTCCCCGTATAGCTTCGTAATCACCTGCCATGTCGATTAGTTCTCCCAATGTTTCGAAGTCTCGTCGTCGGATATAAAGCTGGTAGTCCGGATGTGCATTTCGATAAATTCGTTCTAGTTGAGCAACGGCTCCTATACCTGCGTGTCGCATTAGAATTTGGATTGCTACAACGTAGTCTTTGAATGTCTCCCGTGACCTCTGACGGCGGGCCCGAATTTCATCCTCTAATTTCTCAAAGTATCTTGTCGGTAGAAAGAACTTGAGAAAGTCGGCTTTGAAAGCGGTCCATAATTTCCACTGGCTGTTATTACTTCTATACCAATTTAATGCTTTATCCTCCGTCATATTTGCGGGTCTTTGCCTCCGTCATATTTGACAGACCATTTCCGGACTTGTTCTATAGTTGGTGTAACAGGTGGAACTGTTATTTGTACATCGTTATTTACTTCTTGTGTGATCGGTATTGTTTTTGTATGTTTACGCGCAAGGTCCCATAGCATTTCTCTCCGGACCATGTCATAATCTTCTTCGTCGATGTATGCGGCTAGTCTTTTTCGTAATTCATCTACGGATCCACTCGTTTCTAGTTGCATTTCGGACAAGTAGTGGATTAATTCATCTTTCCGTAAGTGGTACAACCAGGATTTACTCGGCGTGGTAGGTCTTCGAAGTTCTTGGTCGCCAATGTCGACCCTTGTTTTATGTTCTATAGACATACTTGGTTTCCTTGAGTTTAATTTTTACCAATGTGATTTTTGTCCTGGATTATTTGCGATAAATTTTTGAAACTCGGTCCTTTTGAAACTTGGTTCTTTTGAAACTCCGTCCTTTTGAAACTCAGTCCTTTTGAAACTCTGTCCCTTTTGAAACTCAGTCCCTTTTGAAACTCAGTCCCTTTTAAAACTCAGTCCCTGCTCGGGCGCCAATTGTAACGACCTTTTTTCGTTCGTTATGTTTGCTGAGGTATGCAAAGCGGTTGTCCAGGTTCGTTATAATAAAATTTATATCTTCGGGACTAGTTTCTTTAGGAACCAAAATAAAAGCGTAGATTTTATATATTTTATTAATACTTTATTTAATTATTCAAAAAAACAAAACAATTATAATGGGTATAATTTTAGATAAACAAAATATTATTATATATATATTATAAGAATTATATTATTAAATTATAATGGTTACAATTCAGATAAACAAAATATTATTTTCCAAGGATCGGAGAAATTTATGATTTCCGCGCGTGACTATTCCGTAGGGGTGGACTTATGTCACCTCAGTATATGAATTATACATAAGATCAGTTGCTGTCAAAGATGACGATGTTTCGGCGACTGGCTCTGGCTTGTTTGTTATGAAGACTCCTGTCTTTGTACTAAGGGATGTGATAATTTGGCTGAATGATCAAAGAGAAAATTAAATGAAAATTAGTTTCCTACTTTGATCGAATTGACCAGGTTAGGCTGATTAAGCCTGTAAACTAAGATTATCCTGATTTGATCGAATTGACCAGATTAGGCTGATTAAGCCTGTGAACTAAGATTTTCCTGATTTGATCGAACTTGACCAGATTAGGCTGATTAAGCCTGTAAACTAAGATTATCCTGATTTGATCGAACTTGACCAGATTAGGCTGATTAAGCCTGTAAACTAAGATTTTCCTGATTTGATCGAACTTGACCAGATTAGGCTGATTAAGCCTGTGAACTAAGATTTTCCTGATTTGATCGAATTGACCAGTTGAACTTGTTTATCGTTTGATCTCCAAGACGCAAGTTGTTCGCTTTGTGAAATTCGCGTTCTTATATACTGATTTGACCGGAGCTTTTTGGTGTAGCGTACCGGTAAACTTCGCTGTTCGTGTTGATTTTTTGTGCTTTTCGTGTCTTTCTTGTGTATTTTGTGTATTGTCGTGTTCTTCGTGTTATTTGCATTTTTGCGCACTTTTCTTCGCCTTCCTTTGTTTTCGCCGCGATTACGTTTTGGCTACTTCGTGTTTATATTTTTTTTTAAAAAACAAAATATATAAAAATAATATAAAAATATATTTATAATTAAAATAAATATAATATGTGTCAAAATATAAGTGAGTGTTTTAATACATGTGGTAAATAGAATTTTAATGCTACTGCATAAAATTAGTGCTGGTGTAATTGGGACTTGTAGTTTGTTTCCTCCGTCGGTGGTTTGTTTATGTTTATAAAAAAATATAATTTAGTAACGCAGTGATTTTGTTTTTTTTTTTTTTTATTTCTTTTGTGTAAAATAAAAATAACATAAACTAAAAATCAGAAGTATTGCTTGTGATATGTTTTTTTGTTTATCGTAAAAAAACGTAACCAGCGAGTGTTGTTGGTTGATTCTATATATTTGTTTATTATTTTTTTTTCCTATTATCAAAGGTTTATTAAATAATAGTGCAAAAGATTTATGTTTATTAAATAAATGTGTTGTTTATTGTTTAGTAAATGTTCAATGTATGTTTTAAATTAAAATATGTAAAAAATTCCAAATTCATTCATAAAATTCACTTTTTGTTTATTGCTTCTTCTTTAGGTTTGTGCGGTTTACGGATCAATGCCCGCGGTTCATCTGGCTAGTGGCTCACAGGTAATGTCTGTACACTTAAGTGACCAAATATATATTAATATATTTCTTATTTTTCAGGTATTTACGATGTTATATTTTGGTGGGTGAGTGCTGGTGTTGGTTTTTATGCTGACGGTCTGACGTCAGATTTGTATTTAAGTATATGTATGGTTGAAATTGTTGTATGGAATTTCAGCCTTTACAATCTCTCTGATGTAGAGTCAGTGAAAGAAACAAAAGGAACAGAAAATTATTTTGCGTGCATCATTCAAGTTGTGAACAATTTTGCGATCAGTATATACAATGTACGCGTTAAAATGTTATTAAATTCACACGTTTGTTAATTTGAATAAAAAATATATTAAATAAAAATATAATATAAATAATATATAATAAATATAAATAATGTTAAGTGTCGTGCAATAGAAAATTTACAAGTTGCTAAAAAATTTTCTGCAAACTGGCGTCATAGCCGTGCATGTCGGCACACGTTTAGTTAATGTACATCAATACATATATTGCATACAAATTTCTTTTTGTTTGCTTGATTAAAAACATATTTATAATATTTGTAAAGCTATTTGTATATGTAGAACTTTTAATATTATGTGTTTCGAATATAATACTTTATTTTATCAAATTATCACAAAATTAAAAAATTAACATGAATAACTCTTATTCGAATGAATGCTTGTTTTCCGAAAATATTGATATTTTGGAAGTAAGCCCTGAAATATCATTATTATTTGAAAAATGGGAGCTATCGTCTGGTGCTATATGTAGACTTGTGAATTTAAAAATAATTAGTATCGATATTTTTAAAATGATGCATTCTCATGATATCGATGAAATTTTTAATGACGAACAACTATTGGTTGATAAAATAAGGTTTAGACACGGACTTTCACTGTGGCGTTTCGAAAATAATGTAAGTTATTTTTATAATTTCGTACAATATAATATATTAGTATTTTAATTTCAGCTTGATCCAATCATTTGTTGCCCAAATTTTCAAGAATCTCAATATAATAACAGAAAAACGCTACCATTAAATATAATTAATGAAAGCTGTAATGTTCCAGTTATCCAATCTAATATAGATATAAAAAGTATTCTTATTAACACTGTGGCCGGTAAAGATATTATTGAAAAATATAACACTACAAAATATTTAAGTGATACTGATCAAAATGCTATTGTCAAAATAATAGCTGACCATTTTATATTAAATACTATAAAAATGGATCCAAAAGTAATGATAAAAATTGCTCAGTCTATTACATACTTGTTTCCAACAGAAAATGCATTGACATATTTCGTTCCACGTACCAGTAAAAAAAACCCATCTGGTAAATTATATGATAGATATTGCAACTGTTTGTATAAGCGAAAAACTCTACCCGATGATCATGTCAAGAAAATCAAAATTAATGTTGAAGCTGAAATTTCTGCAGAAAATGGTGATGTTGAATTTGAGAAGAGAAAAAAATGGCTTTATTGGAACACACCAAATGATATAATGACTCCGTGGAAGGAGACTTCAGTTAAACGAATGAAGGAGCATAAAGAATCAATACAGCAGTTTCTTGATCAATGGCCGAGATACGGCGATTGTAATGGTCACGAGTTAATTGATATTGACTTTTCAACCCTCTATCCTGGCAAAGAAATGATAATGTTTGAAAAAATAGAGGACTTGGTGCAGAAAGTGACTAAACTATTTTTTCCGTCGTCTATAAAAGATAAACTAAATCAGCAATATTTTGAAAAAATGAAAGTAGCAAGTGATATAAGTATGGAGTAATATTATATATCTGATATTTTTTAAAATAACGAATATTTTTCTAGATTGCAAGCACTTTTATTTTTTCAACTTACTACATGCTATTATTTTACCTCCACGGATCAGTAAAATAAGTAAGCCATCTATAACGGACGCGCAAGAAGATATGATAACACATATTTTTAATATTAATAATTATCAACAAAAAGTGGATGAACTCAAGGAGTTAGCCTTAAGAGAAGGACTAACGTTTCAGCCGAAGGTTTTTGTTGTTGGTAATTCTCCAGAAACTTTAAAAGAATTTTATGTGAATTTAAATAATATTCTGTATAAAGTAGGAAGTGTACTTAATGCATTAGATTTAGTTATGAAAATATGTTTTGTATTTAATTTAGATTTTTCATTTAAAAGCAAATATGTGTGGATCTTTTTACAGATGTGTGTTTACGAAATACCTTCAAAAGAAAAAATTTCAAAAATTGAAAATATTCTATGTAAACTTAGACATGCCATTTGAAAGTTTTAAAGAAAAATCCACACATATTTGCTTTATTTGTAAAACTATTTTTAGCTTGTCGCATTATTTAATAACTCACTTAAAAAGTATTCATAAAGTACCTACAACCTACAAGTATATATGTCTTTACGACAAATGTAATAAACATTTTCAAAATTTGTATAAGTTTAGGAATCATATTCGAAGACATGATGTCAATTCACCTCTTGATATAAGTTGTATTTCATTGCCAAAAACTTTAAGAACTAATGAACTTGAAAGCCTAGCTAAAAATTCAATAAATAATGAAGAAGAGGATATTCAAGATGACAGTATCGTAAATAATGTGAAGTCTATTTCACCAGGTAACTATACTATTGACATCGTTCAAATTAAAAAATTAATAGAAATGGATATATTAAGATTTGCTTTAAAATTGCACTCAAAAATCAACTTCAATCGAAAAGACATTCCTGAATTTCAAACGTTTATTGTGGAGCATATAATTGAACCGATATTAAAGGGTTTTGAGATTTTTCACCAATTTATTCAACATGAAAAAAGGGAACTATTTAATGAATTAATGTTATATTCTAGAAATCCTTTTAAGGATATATTCTCTGAATTCATGTTAATAAAAAAGTTAGAAACATTAAATTTATACAAGCACCCCAAGTTATTTACAATATCTAAACAATTAGATGAAGTTGTTGTTCGTGGTTATCCAACATTAAAAGAAAATATAATTGAAGGTTGCCTTTGTAATATAAAACATCAACTTAAAAAGTTTTTTGAATCACCAAATGTTTTGAAGGCGACTTTACAAAATATTGAAAGTATCAAATCGTGTAATAGGCTTATACGGCGTTTACATTGACCGAAAATGGCTCATTTTGAATGAGCCATTTGAAAGTGTTTACATTCGTTCTATTTCATTTGTTCTCATTTCAACAGCTGATTTTTCAACTTGCATGTTGATTTGATTTTTGGCCTGTGCCAAAAAAATGTTGCATGAAGGTTAAATATGCCTCCAAACCTTACATTAGAAACTTAAAACATATTTTTAACTTCGATTAATTACTTTTTGGGAAGTAAAAGTTCTAAAAAGCAGTGCATCGTTTTCAAGAAAATGCAACCACCAAACATTTGTTTACCTTTTTTTGTAAATATGTTAAAAAAAGCTTTTTCAAACTGTCAAAATGCCATGAAGAGCTTTCATTTAGGGTATGTTCAATGGATTCCTTTGCATTTGGAACGTATGTGGAATGCATTCGAACGTCATTCATACAGAATGTGAGAAAATAGCTCATTTTTGTGCTTGAAATTTTATATGCAAGAATGAGCCATTCGATACTCATTTTCGATTTTTGACCAAAATGAGCCATTTTCGGCCAATGTAAACGCCGTATTATTCACTTTATAAATGGAAATCTATGGAAAAGTAAAATTAGTCAATTTAATAATGAAATGTTTCCATTATTTCTTTATTTTGATTCTTTTCAAATAAATAACCCTCTTGGGGGCCATCAGTATTCAGTTTGTGGTATATATTTTTCAGTTCCAGTAATTCCACAAAACCAGTTATCTCATCAAAGCACCATTTTTGTTGCGGGTTTTGTTAACGCAAAAGATTTATCACACTTTGGTAATCACCAAACTCTCAAATACCTTATTGATGCCATTAAAGATCTAAGTACAAATGGAATTGACATTAGCATAGATGGAACCATTACCACTATTTACTTTTGTATAGGTCAAATTTTAGGGGATAACTTAGGTTTAAACGAAGTTTTAGGTTTTAATTCAGGTTTTAATAGTAAATATTTTTGTAGATTTTGTTCAGCTTCAAAAGAACACTGTCAAACAACATTTGTCGAAATTGAAAAAAATATTCGCAATAAAAGCAGGTATAGATCAGAAATAGAAAACCTTCAAATGAATGGGGAAGAAATATCTGCCGTTAGAGAAGACTCTATATGGAATACAGTTCCTTCTTTCATGTTACTGACAACAAAATGTGCGATATTATGCACGATATATTTCTTGGAGTCGCAAAATATAATATACATAAAATCTTAAATTATTTCATATACGAAAAGAAGTTTTTTACTTTGGAATCTTTTAATTATAGGAAACAAATGTTTGAATATGGGCTAACAAACACGAGAAATATAAGTCCACCATTTACAAAAATGCAACTAAAAAATTGTAATATAAA